AAATACGGGATTCAGTCTGATGCAATGTTGTTGTAACCCCGTCTGTGTAGCGAACCCAGCGGACCGTGCCGAGGTTGTGGGTCACACCAGCTCAGCAGCGATGGGCGTCCAACCTGCCCATGAACACGTTGGTCCTGTTTGTGCCCCAACAGGAAGCCTGGGTGGTGGAGAGAATGGGTCGCTTCCACCGGATCTTAGAGCCGGTATACCCTTTTATTTTCAAAAGATTCCCGATCAAAGAGCGCTAGTGCTGAATAATACAGTGAGGGAGTATCAAAAGCTCTATAACTTTGATCTCTTTCAGGGTTTAAACTTCCTCATACCCATACTTGACCGTATTCGCTATGTGCAAAGTCTCAAGGAGATTGTCATTGATGTCCCAGAGCAGTCTGCAGTATCTCTAGGTAAGGGATGAATGGAACGCCAAATTGTTGACCAATAATATACAGCTTAGCTTGTGTTACCCTATTTAACAGCTGTACAGTGTATTATAAACAGGTCTACCTTGTTTTCACAGATAATGTAACACTACAGATTGATGGAGTACTTTACTTAAGGATCCTAGACCCTTTTAAGGTATGCTGTTAAGAATCGCTTCAAATGCTGGAATGATTGTGTGCTCCATCGCATTGTTACACACTTATCAAACCTAATTTCTACCAGTTGTGTTCATTCCCAGGCCAGTTACGGTGTTGAGGATCCAGAGTATGCCGTCACACAGTTGGCACAGACCACCATGCGCTCAGAACTGGGCAAACTCACACTGGACAAAGTGTTCAGGGTAAAGACGAACTACTGCTCTCTCTCACATTGTTCTGTAGGATTGTAATGAAAGGCGTCGGAAGCACTTTGGATGTTTAAAATGTTGCTTCTTTTTTTTTGGTTTTTAAGGAAAGGGAGTCCCTCAATTCCAACATTGTTCACTCCATCAACCAAGCTTCAGATGAGTGGGGAATCCGTTGCCTCCGTTATGAAATCAAAGATATACATGTTCCACCTCGTGTCAAAGAGTCCATGCAGATGCAGGTGGGGAGAACAGAATGAATATGGATTGATTTAGATCACTGTAGATACCTGAGACGGTTACCTCATTCTTATGTTAATAAATCAGTGTAATTAAGGGGTTTAAAACTCATTTTATTCCTTCAGCAACAAATGCAGATTCCTAAATCCTCCGGGTCTGGCATACACATTTAATTTTCATACACATAGCCCGAGAGATCTCGTTGTTTTAACTGTCTTAAGAAGACGAAAGCCACTGTAAAATTCAGTGCTTTACTGGTGAGGCTCTGGGCAGTCTTTATAGAGACGCATAAATCCCAGAAAAAAGTTTTAACGCATGTTTTTATTCCCTCTTGTGTAGGTGGAGGCTGAACGCAAGAAGAGAGCCACAGTGCTGGAGTCTGAAGGGACCAGGGAAGCGGCCATTAACGTGGCAGAGGGTCGTAAACAAGCTCAGATTCTGGCCTCGGAGGGTCAAAAAGCAGAGCAGATCAATAAAGCGGCTGGTGGGTGCACTCAAAGAGCCAGTTCGGTTGTTTTATCTCTGTAGTTTTCAGTGCAGCTTCTGTGCTTACAGGGATGGTGTTTTCTCCTGTATCTGCTGCGCTTAGTTAGGTTTTGAGTTGAAGTAAAAAAAACTCCAATAACCGATGTATTTCAGATGATTACACGTCACTAATCTGTGACTGTTCCCTCCAGGTGAGGCCCAGGCCGTCTTGGCCAAAGCAGAGGCAAAATCTAAGGCTATCCGCATGCTGTCGGAGGCTCTTACCGAGCAGGTGAAGAGTAGTTTTTTCACTTTTTAACGAGATGACCGCGATCACAGTCTTATTTCTGAAAGTTAGACAGTTTTCAGTTCATTCAGATCATTTCTATTGTGCGTTGTACAGAATGGAAATGCAGCAGCCTCGCTAAGTGTGGCCGAGCAGTACGTGTCTGCTTTCTCCAACCTCGCCAAAGAGTCCAACACCATCCTTCTGCCCTCCAACTCCGGCGACATCAGCGGGATGGTCACACAGGTATTTCCTTCTCGAAATGATATGTGAATTAGCCCCCAGATACAGTATCTTTTTGTTTTCTTCGGTCACGACGACACCGGCTTCACTTCATGTTTTCCCCGCACTCAGGCTATGACCATTTACGGCACGTTGGCGAAGACGGGCCAGAAAGCGGCACCAGAAGCGCTGGACGAGATGAGCGAAGGGCCTGCGAACCAGTCGGCGGCGTCTCAATAGCAGAGGGCTCGGTGAATGAACTCAAAGCAGTAACATGACACAGAACCAAGAAGAAGCAGTTTATGTTTCAGTTGTCGGAGCTCCAAGGCGTCACTTTGTGAGCAGAGTTCAAAGACCTTCTACTGACGGGACAGAAGGAAAAACTTTCTAAACTTCTGGGATGTTTTGCCTTGGAGTCCTTGAAAAAACTCATCTTTTGTAAGAGGATTTTTAGTCTGACAATTGTTTATGCTTGGTTATTGTCAGATTGGGGAAATTAACACCAGTTTTCAGCCAAATATACTCATACCAGTGACTTAGAGAAATTTGATGCCGCTGTGGTCAGTGGATGCAAACATAAACCCTGGGTGCTGTCCGCACATGATTTAGTATCATAATTCATTACTTCTTTCTTTTATGCATTAGATCTGTTGAGGTATGTATCATTGCATAAACCCTAATATAATTGGGTGTTAGGGTTTTGAATTTGACAGCTCTACTTTAAAGTAAAACATACAAATGTGTTTTCTCCTTTGTCCATGCCGTCCCAAATAACTGTTTCTGGTTCTGTGGGTTCATTGGTGTTAGTGTGACAATCACAGAACCATCTGCTATGATTTGGCTGACAGACATCAGTGACAATCCTTCAACTGTCTTCAGCATCATCAGGACCAGGGACTTGGGAGTTGTTACATGTGACGTCTGGCTGGACTCCTCAGAATGTTGGAAAGTTTCCCAAAGCGTAGTTCATTCACAATTTGGCCCATGTTGGATTAAAACATTATCTCCCTGAAAAACTTGATCCAGTATTCGTTTTAGAAGTAGCCTTGAGGAGGTGTACCGTTTTGAAATGATTCAGAAACAATTACCTCTAAATAACTAGTTAGTATGCAACGTCAGCCATAGGAACACATGTTCATGTCCTCTTCGTATTTGTGTTCACCTCTTATGTCTTATGGGATATATTTATTACATTTAAGTGTTCTCTGCAAAGACAGAAAGTTTGTCATTTCATAGCCTTCACCGATGCTTACAGGTTTATGAATAATAATGCAAAAATAAAACGCCTGTCTTTAAGACAAAGTAAAGAGACCTCAGTAAGTTTATGACATGGAATGGGAGGTTGTGAAGCACTTGTTTAAAAATATGATTATGTTAGAAGACGATGAAGACACCTGGACTACTTCAAATGTAATATTTTGACTGTTGATGAAGAAAAACTGAAGATTTGGATGTTAACTGTCCTCCATGTTTTGGGTCAGCAATGTTGAATTACCATAAAATAAAATCAGATGGTTAACACAGTATGTGTGTCAATAAATCTATTTCAAAACGGGCTACTGTAAATGTAATTCAGGAGAGGTTTGTTACAAACCATAGCTGGGGGTCATTCCATGGGGCATGATGGGAGGAACAAAGAATTCAGCAGGTTTTGATTGTTTCACAAAACATGGCTAATGTGGTTAATAGGATTTATAGAAACTATTTCTGGTAGAATATGAAAGCCAAAATAGGGCAAAATGCTCTTTTATTTATTGTTTATTCATGTAACAAAAGATATCTGCTCTAGATTTTCCCAAGTGACAGACAGGTCTCTTTTTACTATAGTTGCTCCCTCCCTCTTTTAAGATTTAGTTACGCCCTTTACTGTTGTCTTGCAGGACACAATAATATGAACGGCTTAAGGCCATTAACAGTAGTGTAGTTTGAATTAGCATAGAAATTTATTGAAATTTAAATAAATGTCATGGTTTTCCTAAATTAATAAATAAATAGTGTAAAACTTGAAAAAGATATGTAACTACGATGATTGTAAAGTAACTGATAACGTAATTTTCTCAGCCATTCGTTTTTCACTTATTTTTTTAAGCATTACTGATTGACTGATATTGTCTGGAAAGATTTCAGAGAAATACTAGCCTAGGATTTGTTGTTACAGTCAGTCTGGACGCAAGGTGTGCGACTCCTGAAAGTCCAAACTCAGGGCACAAAATATCTACAGTTACCCGGTGTTACAAAGAAAAACGTCCGCCGCATACTTCCTCTGGGTTGCACGCTCGCTGAAGTTCCTAGCCGCCACCAGCCATCTAATCTCATTGTACCGGTGTCCCAATGAAGGCGAGCGCGGTGTCGCGTCGTCCTCTGTTTACCTGAGACACCTGTCCCCGTGTTGTTACCGCAAACACTCACGTCCGCCCTCCGGCCGAGAAAGGACGACACACCGACTGCTACAAGGTCAGTGAACAGAGCGGGGCGAGCTAGCCGCGGCTAACAGCGTCAACTTAACAACGTCTGCTCCTCTCAGCGTTAGTTAGTGTTACCTGTCACGTCCGAGCACAGTGAGCCATTTTATTAGTTTGAGTGGAACTCGAGTTACCAGCGTTAGCGGCTCTTGTAGCAGGTGTTACCCACAGACAGCTTGACTCTTTGTTTTTGTTTTTTACCTTTGGTGTGAAGCAAGTGCATTATTTTAATACGCTTTGCTGCTGTCACCTGTGTGTAGGATGAAGGGGCTCCCGGTGCTGTCCCTGCTCCTTTGGCTGTGTGCGGTGTACTTTGTGGGCATCTACCTGTTTGTGGGTGGATTCCTGCTGGTGAGGCTGGAGGTGAACAGGACCAGCACCTGCGGGGACGTGCTGCAGCCCGGAGAGGAGCCTGGGGATTTCTGCCGCGCCCGGCCGCGATTCCGCAGGGCTGTGCTGCTCATCATTGACGCCCTTAAGATTGACTTCGCCCGGTTTGACCCCAACAACACGGCGCCGCGACCTTACGAGAACAAGCTGCCCGTGCTGGAGGAGACGGTCTCGTTCAGGCCTTCCCACAGCCGCCTGTACCCTTTCCGTGCTGACCCGCCTACGACCACCATGCAGAGGATCAAGGGCTTCACCACCGGCTCCTTGCCTACCTTTGTGGATGTGGGTAATAACTTTGCATCCAGTGCCATCTTGGAGGACAACCTCATCCATCAGTTTGGGCAAGTGGGTGAGTAGTCCCACGCTTTTCTCTGTGGTACGCAGGGGAGGTGACGTTATCTGTAGGACTGAAGAGGGAACTACCTATAAAACAGTTTTTTTTTAAAGAGCAGAAAGAAAACTTGTGAACGCTTTCTCCACTGGAAGGGCACCCTAGAGGGCACTTTATCATGTTTCCTTGCACATTGGGCCACCGTAGAGGGGGTTTTATCATGTTTTATCTACTAAGAGGGCACTTTTGTTGCAATCTGATAAGAAAATGTACCATGGTAATGTGCCAATACTATAATGTAGTCACAGTGTTGAATAAGAGTTTCTTTTGAAGAGTAATTTCACCATTGGGGATTAATAAAGTCAGTCTTAGACAAACTTAAGATAAGACCTTGAAGTTGCTGTTGTTAGCCCTTTAAAACTCATCTAAAGAGTTATATGGCCATCTTTCAAGTCCAGTTAGAACGAAGGTGAAAATATGTTGGAATAAACTAATGGCATTGTCTGATTCAGTTCATGTTAAGTGTGTGTGTGTGTGTGTGTGTTCCTCACAGGCAAACGTGTGGTGTTCATGGGCGATGACACTTGGGAGAATCTTTTTCCTAAGAGGTTCCACCGCTCTTTGCCCTTCCCTTCTTTCAATGTCAAAGATCTGCACACTGTAGACAATGGGATCCTCCAGCACCTCTACACAACTAGTATGTATTTACTTAATATGACTGAGCTGTACCATGATCAAAAGCAACCCACAAATAAATATATATATATGAATGAATGAATGTATATAAAAAAATAAAAATAAAGTGTGTATATATAAAAAAGTAGCAGTAGCTCAGTGTGTAGGGAGGGTCGCCGGTTTAGTCCACAGCGCCAATATGGGTGTTGGACTGGTAGCTCTGGAGAGGGGCCAGTTTCCCTCTGTGCACTGCCGAGGTGGCTTGAGCAGGGCACGCTAACCCAGAAACTGCTCGCATGGGTGGCCCTAACCAGGCGAGCCCATCACCATCTCTCTCCCTGTTTGTATGTCCACAAGCCCCTGCATGTGCCTGAGTGTGCGTTTCGGCCTGTGTGTGTATGACAAATTGTGTAAAAGAAAGAAGAATTTCCCCAACTGGGGATTAATAAAGTATATAAAATATATATTGTTAATGGTATGCAAAGTAGAGTTCTACAGGTGGGTACTGTGATATTGTACTCGCGCTTCACCTCTCTCCGTCTGTCACTTGCTGTTGGTTTTGACAGTGGTGGGGGATGACTGGGATGTCCTGGTTGCTCATTTCCTCGGAGTGGATCACTGTGGTCACAGGTTTGGTCCCGACCACCCGGCCATGGCCGACAAGCTCACCCAGATGGACGGAGTCATCAGGTCAGACAATAGTGCAGCTGCTGCGGGCTTGTTCCACAGCACCCCCCCACAGTCACCATCATGTGGTGTCACAGTGCACCTGTAGTACTGTAGAAACGTCATGTCAACCTATTAGTCCAAATTATAGAAGGAAATAGATGCTAACAATGACTGCAGAATGCACACTGCTGCTAATAATTCAGAAAATCATAGATTACAATTGCAGGAATCCTAGTTAATCTCTTCTTTGAAACCCCTCTGATCATATTCATCCATCTCCTCCAGGTCCGTGATGGACCGTCTGCAGAATGACACCCTCTTGGTGGTGATGGGAGATCATGGGATGACGGACACCGGAGATCACGGCGGAGAAAGTCAGAAGGAGACCGATGCGGCAATCTTCCTCTACAGTCCTTCCCCTCTGTTTCCCGCACCGCCGTCCCAGGTCAATAGAGCATCGGCCTTTTTCACAGTCAGCTTTAACATGAGATGATTGATATCGTGCGAAGGAAGGACACAAAAGAGAACATTTTGTTTTGCGGTCAAATACTCGTACGTTGCTTTGGACAAAAGCATCCGCCAAATGAATAAATGTAAACGTAAGCCCGCTTCCTGCAGCCTTTACATTATCCTTATTAGCTTACGTCAAATATAAAAACAGTAGAAACATAGTGTAAAAGGTACTTTAATACACTATGGAATTCACTAAATCACAGGCGTTCGTAAAAACAACAATAAAAATCTTAATTAAATTACAGCTTTGACCCACTATTTAACTGAATAAAATAATATTCTGACAAAGAAATAAAGGGTTAATAACCAGGTTTGGAAAGTCTTAATTAAGACTTGATTAACCATCAATAACCAAAGCCTTGAAAAGTTCTTTGAATTAGTAAGAATAAACTAATATAAAAACTCCAGTGATAACTCGTTTGAACTGATTTTGCAGACTGTCTGATTTAACATCAGACTTCCTGCGCTGTCTCTGCTGAATGCCAGTAATCAGTTAAGTAGATGTAAAGGAGATGCAGAGTGAGCGATAAATGCTGTTTTTAAATTGCCGAACACTTACTGAACAGACTTATTATAGTCCATTCATAACTGTCAGAGACATTTTTGACTCCTGGACCTTTTGAAAGAACATAAAATGCCGTCAAATAACAGACAAACATATTCCACCCACAGATAAGCCTGAAATCCTGTGACTGTTATCTTCTATCTGTTTCTGTGTTTATGTTTCTTTTTCACTTTTATCAGCAAATATCCATATACATCGTGTTTATCACGCCAAATCAACCAGAGTGTTAGCTGTATTATGAATATGAAACATCAAACCCTTCGAGCATGATCATTTCTGTTCACGGTTGGCTGTGCAGTTCCCCAAATCCGCCAAATTGATGCTGGCAGGTGGTCTTCGCCTTTTCAGGGATAAAAGAGGATCTTGCACTATTTCCATAATTGCAGTGTAATTGGAACATTACATAATACATTGTGGAAAAATCAGGGGTTACGTGAGTACACAGAAATAGCAGTACTACAAGGAAAGGAGAGATTATTAGACACAATATCCTATTACACTCACACTTTTATTAACTCCTGAACCTAACCCTGGGTTAAATGTCCGCTGGAACACGTTTCCTCTAAAATGTCAGAGCAGCCCTTTAAATCACAGATAATTCGAGTTTCAACCACATAATATTAACACAGCAGGCTTTTATTTTCTCATGTTTGCAGAGTGAACCCGACGTGGTGCCCCAGACAGACCTGGTGCCCACCCTGGCTCTGCTGCTGGGAGTTCCCATCCCGTACAGCAATGTGGGGCAGGTTCTCCTGCCTTTATTCCCTTCTCACGGGCAGCCCAAAGACGTAGTTGGAGGTCTCAGCCAGCTGGAGGCACTGTGGATCAATGCAAAACAAGTAATCCGCTCAGTTAGGAGCTGTCTAGCACCGTTTGTTAATGCGTCACACTTCACATATCCATGTTCAGTAACTGTGTGTGTTTCACTTCATCTCATGTGACCTTTCTGTGTCTGAAGGTCAACCGTTTCCTGGAGACTTACTCTGGCATGGCCAAAGACATCCCACCAGAGAGCCTGTCTCAGCTGAAGGATGAATTCTCCCGCCTGTCCTCTGAGTACCTCACCACGGCTAGAGAGGGTCGCTCACCCTCCCCACAGCTGGCCGCCTCCCTGCAGGCCTACCTCACCTCCGTCAGAGACACCTGCCGAGCCACCTGGGCTCGATTCAACCCGCTCAAGATGGCAGCCGGTTTAGCCATCCTGGCATTTGCCTGCTTGATGTGCTTCATCTTATCTGAGCTGTCCCTGGCGCTGATCAGGGAGAACGGCCCCGGGCTGAAAGTCCCGGTTCTGGTGGCACTAACGGCGGGGGTTTGCGTGGCCGCCGGTCAGCTGCTCACCCAGGGCTACGTGGAGGGAGCGTGGTGCCTGGCAGCGGCTGCCCTCAGCTCTGAACTGCTCTTTCTCTGGAGAGCTAGTCAATCCAGAACCAACGCTGTGGCAAAGAACGGATCCAAATCTCCAAAGTGCACTAGCTGGCTGACCCCACGCCACCTCCTCGTCCCCCCTCTCTTGGTGCCGATCCTACGCTGTGCCTCCCTGCTCTCAGACAGCTACGTGATTGCCGAGGGCCGCGCGGTGACTTTTCTGGTGTTCTCTCTGGCGCTCTACATTCCCATCCATCTCAACTGGGATGGCCTGCTCCTACCCCCCGTCCACGACCCCCTGAAGGCTGCGGGGCTCCTGCCTTCCGCAGCTTTGCCCCCATCAACTGTGAGGAAAGAAAGCGGCACGCTCCTAGCCTGCTTAGGTCTTCTTGTTGGCAGCCTCTACCTCTCCCTCTCCTTCCACGGCTGTCGGGAAGAACAGGGCTCCTGCCAGCCGTCCCCGTTCCTCTCGCCCCTTTCCCGGCTGCAGGACAGCCAGCTGAAGAACCTCCACTACATCCTCTCCGTCTGCTCCCTGGGCTTGTGGACATATCTGCTGAGACGCTGCCTCCGCCACTACGGTAACCTCAACTCCTCAAGTGGGACGGTGTTCACGGCCCGCTGGATCCTGCCGCTGCTGTCTGTGTGCCTGGGGCTCCACTGGGCTGTTAGCGCCACCCCAGAGGACAGCTTTAGGAATCTAGCCGAGCTGATCAGCCTGGCCCAGCTGGCCCTCCCTAGGGTCGCCTTCTTTCTCCTGGGGATGGGGCTGCTGCTGATCTGGCTAGACCCTCTCACTGTGTTCGTGAAGACCAGGGCTGCAGCTACGACCAGAGGTCCATCCTTACCCCCGCCCCGCTACCGAGCAAGCACCGGCATCAGCCCCCAAGCCGAGCTGCACCACCTCATTCCCCAGATCTACCAGCGCATGCGTCGTTCCCTGGAGGACGGAGAGCCGAGCGGGGGTGGTGAGGTGGACAACAGACCCGCTGTGGAGGCCTACGGACTGGGAACCGTCTACTCGGCCCCTTTGCTGCTGTTTTGCGGCCTGCTGGGAATCGGTCTGCTGCTGCTGCACCCAGAGGGCATGGCTCTGTCTTTCCTCCTGCTGTTGCTTGAAATGGGAGCTCTGTTGCACATTCACGCCTCCTCCACCACCCTCAGTGGCCTGAATGGAACATATACTGGTGAGATCCTCAGAGTCACACGTTTGTCTGTTAGTTTGTCCCTCATGACATGTCTCTCCTTCTTTAAACCACCTCTCATTGTTTCCCTCAGGTGGCTTTAATGTTCCCTGGACTCCAGTGGTGCTGTGGTCCCTGGCTGCCACCCAGTTCTTCCATGCTACAGGTCACCTTCCCACCTTCCCCTCCATCCAGTGGGGCGCTGCCTTCGTGGGATTCCCTGATGGCCACACAGGCACACTACTGCCCGCCTCACTGGTTACCCTCAACACTTTTGCCTCGCACATCTTGTTCGCAGGTAGCTATTGACAGAGAAGCAGCAACAGTTGGATTAGTGAGTTTAATGTGATTAATATGATTAGAAAAGCACGATCCTTCAGGGAAATTAGGCTGTTGCATCTGCAAAAGCAAAAGGATTCAACTGGGACTTAAGACAAGGTACATTATAAACAAAGAATGAATATTCAATGAGCAATTACTAATAGCATTTAATAAATTATAACCTAATTAAAAAGTATGCATAAAAATGTGTTATTTATAACAAAATAATATGACTAAATAGGAATCTTAGTCTAATAGTTAAGTGTAACATATTTAAAGATGAAAAGTCATTGTGAACTAAATAAAATACAACCATGGAAAATAGTCTGATCTTGATGTTGTATTTTACCTAAGAATACGATATTTTACATGTATAGGGGAGGGATTTTCAGTTTGGTGTAAGGGTGCAATCCTCGCATCAGTCATAATGAATACTTTTCCACCAATGTTTAAAATCTGTACTGTAAACAGTAGTTTTGTTCTCATAAAACACACTGAAAGGTAGATATTATGCAGGGGAAATGTAAAAACTAACTGCCGATCTGTATTTGTTTCCGTGTCTCATTATCTGCAGTGGGTTGTCCGCTGCTGCTGTTTTGGCCTCTGGTGTGTGAGATACGTGGCAGCAGGGGAGGAAGAGGATGTGGGGACGAAGGAGAGGATGCTGTGATGGAGATGAGACTGAGAGAAAACCCCCAGCAGTTCAGCTCCGCTCTCCTACAACTCTCAACACGCTACCTCTTCATTCTCGGAGCACAGGTACGACTGTGAAATGTTTGTCGGTATGGGTCTGTATAGATTCACACAGTACTCACAAAATTACCATCTTTCACCAGTTAACCAACTGTTTGATCGCCAATCGAAAACATTTAGTTAAATTTAGGAATCTATGGCCCATTTAGTGTGATTTTCTTTCTTTTGTTCAGTCCCCATGTGTGTCAGTATCACATCACTCCAGTCAGTATCTGTGCTTCTATTCACAGGTCTTTGCTTCAGTCTGTGCAGCTGCTATCCTCAGGAGACACCTAATGGTGTGGAAGGTTTTCGCACCCAAGTAAGTGCCTGAATGGATTTTCCAGCTCTCACAAAGTCACTAACAGTAAAGGCTTTTGAGGATATGTAACTGGCAACCACTTATTCTACTGGGGCTATTCAGTGAATGCACATTAGTCTGCTTTTCTGTAAACGACCACTGTAGAGATACTTATTTACATCTGCTCATTGTGAAGATCATGGAAGAGTCCATGAATATTACTTAATGAATGAATTTCTGTTTCACAAGTCTAATCAAAGTCTGAAACAAATAGCTTGTTTTCAAATAATTTGAATTTTGCAAAAGATTTACTGCTAATACAATGGCCAGTAGCTGTTGAGCTATAAACCATAAAAAATACAGATTTCTCAGTATTTTGTATAAGCATATAAACACAATTTCTAGAGCTTGCGTTTGGCTTTGAAGCTACATTTTATGATAGGTAATTTGTTCCTAACAGGGTTCCCACATGTCCTGGAAAACCAGGAATTTTAGAGACTAGTTTTCCAGTCATAGAAACCCCTGGGAATTGATTAAAATAAGCAAATATCCTGGAAATAATCTGTTGTTCTGGAAAAGTTTGAATTTGTTTTAGCACTTATCTCCCATTGCCTGATTGAAACTTGAACCTGCGTGGTAGGTTTACGAGACGTGGAACAAACTGGCAGCCATCTTTTCGGCATCATCTATGTTTTTTTTTGGAGCCACCATCAGAATTCTCATGAAAGCCCACTGTAAAAATGTCTTGTTGTTGTGGTTGATAAAGACACACACAGCAAGGTAACTGTACGTGTAACAAACACTCAACTTCTGTAGTAGGCTAAAAGGTGAGAAGATGAATTTTCTTGTACTGAATTTGAACTTTTACTTATGGGCTGTGGCCAAATTATTGTTATGGTCACCTTTAATAATTAAAAAAGGAGGAATAAACCTGGGGTTAAATGCCTTATATTAGGCCTACCAGTAAGTGATATGACTGTTAGAAAGCACTCTGTTGTATTGTCAAGAAAAATCCTGGAAAATCCTGTTCAATGATGTAGTTGAGTTGCAGAATGTTTTAAGGTTTAAAAAGCTGTACTTTGAAAACTAGAAAGTTGGAATTGTTTGTAACATTTCCACCCCCCCCTCCCACCATTACCATCCTCTGTTTTCTCCTTCCAGGTTAATGTTTGAGGCCTCAGGGTTCGTGGTGAGCAGCGTGTCTCTGCTCATCGGGGTCACGCTAGTGCTGAGAGTAGACGTGGCCGTGAGCAGCTGGTTTAAGAGACTCGTCCCCGATGCATCCAGGTAGCGACGGCGCTGCTGCTGCTGCTGCTGCTGCTGCTGCTGCTTTACCACAGAAGCCCACCAGAGCTCACTGTGCCACAGAGCAAACAGACATGGTGGTCACTGTAAAGTTTTTATACGGACCTCCCACAAATAAAACAAACATTGCCATCTGTGTCTAGCATAAGGATCCCCACAAACATGTCACGTGAGGGTACCTCTTACTCTTTTGAGGGCTATGTTGCGTAATGCTGACACTGGGGCTGCCTCCATTTTCAGCCAGAGGGTCTCAAATCTGGACTCAAAGCATCCGGACTCACATTGAAGATGGGGTTATAATATGATGTGCTCGTAAACCACCTCACTACACTTTCTCTTGTGAGAGAAAAGCAGTGTCTGAATGTTTCTCCTCAACTCCTGTTTTTCTAACTTACAGTATGGATGAAGCCTTCCCAGCTCTCCAAAACCACAGTCTTGCAAGCGGTTCTTAGTGCAGCAGTCAACAAGCGTCACTAAATACAAACAACAAAATGGCTGATTCAACAGTTTTAATGTTATTGGGCGGGGGGGAAGAAATAAAATCTTCAGCTACCGGATGACCAACCTGCCACCCCATGTCTACAGCTACTTTAACATCAACTCGCAAGCAGGTCTGCTCCATTTGGTGAAATCCATCCAAGTGCATTACAGCATGTCTGTCATCTAAGTGTCTGCTGGAGGAACTTTGGAGGAAAACTCCATTTTCTTTTGTATGTTTTTGTATTTTCAAGATGTTGAAATAACCAGTGTGTCTGGTAACTGCCAATTCATAAAGTATTACTGTGCAGTTAGGCTTTCCTTCACACACTTTTGGGTCTTTTTTTCTTATTTTTTTAGGGTTCTGATTCCTAACTCTAATGCCTATTTATAATTATGATTTTTTTAAATCACTGATTCGTTTTTTTAATCTCAAATGAAACTTTTGTCTCAATTAGGCCTCGTACACCTTTTCCCCCCTGGAATAGGTGCTTTAAAGTAATGCCTTTTTTTTGTCTATGATGTCATTAAGTTAACAGGGTCATTAAATCCAGGACCTCCAGAAACACTGTCAGTTCATTTATTTCTGCAGGACGTCTGAGTCAGTGTAAGATCTGTTACTGTTGTGCAGCTGTAGTCAGCAGCTGAAGCTCATTAGCTAATGCATGATATGGAAGGGGAGGCTGAGCTCAGGTTGAATTAGCTCCAGTGCAATTGTACTGCATTTCTCAGGCTGTTGTACGGGAGTGACTGGTCATCTAGAGCGGCTGCTGACATCAGCCCAAGTGATGGTTTGGCTAGGTTGTATGATAAAGAGACACCTTTTTTTTTGTTCTAAAATGTTTAATATATAAATAACTGATTAATTAAAATGATTTTACATTCTGTGAAAAAAATGGAATAAAACTTTTTACATGACATCTTGGTCTGATAATTTAGTATTACAGATAAGAAATATTCATATTAGTCTAAATTCTTTCCTGTTGGGATTTATGTTGTGTACGTATTTCAGTTTTAGTATTATTTATTGTTGCAGGGCAAACAATTTATACGGTGCATAAAAGCAGTATTTAATGTTTTCTTTATTGATGCAAGGACTTGATGGAGGAGATGGGTGCTGCCAAATTTTTTTACAGGCCATCAGTCAAGGTGCTTCATTCATTATTCACCGGGGCTTTCCACATTTCCAGTTCCTATAACTCTGGAAGTCGTCAAACATCTGACTTGTACAAACCGGCAAAGGACAAGATTAAGTTCAAGTATATTTTATGTTCTTGCCGCAGCCTGCCTCTGTACGGTACAGCTTGAATTCTATTTTCCGTATATTCGAGATTAAAGCGCACTGCAAGGAAGAGCTTCAGGCCCAACAAGAGGTCATGTACCAAATCCGTTATGATCGATGGATTGTTATTGCAGCTGCAGTGATCTCCTTTTGATTCATGTGGGTAAACCTGAAACATGACACTATTTTAATCACGGACAAAATGTGCCACACAGAGTGAGCTGCTAATTAAAAACCTGTTTTTCCCAATAAATATATTATCCTTATATGAAAGATGAAAACTTCTATTGCATTGTGCTCACAATGTGCAATTGAAATGTGCAGACTTGCAGTGGTATCAACACAGACCTCTGTATACAGAGACATAAAAAAATGAATAAACATAACAGCTAAAAAAATTGTAAAATCACATTTCTCAACGACAGAGATCTAAACACCTGCCGAAGTAACAACCGAGTCATTGATATCAATCAACAGGTGTTTCAAGCCACCGCAGTTATATTACAGTTGTTTGTGGTCTTTTACTACTCTCCTATCTCTTACCCATTGGAGCCAAACATACTGGGGTCAGCCGTCAGGTGTTTGGGGAATGAGATTGATGGATATGTGTGTGGGACACATTTTATAATGACATCAAGACTTTTTTAATGAGCTGAACTCATTTTCATTGGTCATTATTCATTAAAAACAGTGTATAGATTCAATAAATCAGCATTTAAACAAGTGCATTTTCACGTCTTGTAGTAGTTATTTGTGTTAGATGGGGTGCCACAGCATCGATCAAATGAACAAACTTAGAATTTGATATAAAATATCCCTTTGCAACCAGTTTTATTATAACTTAATAATGGTTTTAATGTACAGTTGATTGTGACACAACATAAGTTGTTGCTGGCTAGCTTGTCTGCAAGATGGAATATGTTGTTCAGTGATGGATGCCAGGGACCCTTAACAATACTTCCTGTTGGACAACGGTTATAGTTTTTGCAAAATGTGATAATGGGCTGTCTACTGGAAGGCTAATTTACACCTAAAGCTTTAAAAATAGCAATGTGCTGCTTCAGCAATTATGGCATGGCTCACCTAATGAATTACATATTGTATTTCAACAGGATACTTTTAATCATTAACTTAAAGCCCCTACTTTAACTTCAACTTTGAGAGAAGTTTCTGGTAGCTGAGACTGTTGAGACCGGTTAAAAACTCCTTGTAGTAATGTTGTTGTGTACAAAGAAATGTGTGCCATTATATACCAATAAGTGGCTCTAGCCATATAGAAACTACTTGAATTAAAACTTCCTGGAAAACATCACTTGCTGCTGCTGTCTGAAGCTTTGGAGCTCTTATTATTTTGGATATGAAACACCATTATGACTGTGAAGCTGTAAAGCAGATTGCCAAGCTTTAATTCAAAGCATCAGTCCTTCTCTAATTGCTCGTCATTATCAGATGAGCAGCCCTTTGGACAACAATCCACCCCATTTCAGCTTGCATCAACTATTAAAGTCAGACCAATTTGTGATATGGGGATGGAAAATCATCCAGCTGGTCTCTGATGTTTGTGCTCTGAGTTCAGTGAGAAGGGCTTTCCGCAAGGGATATCCATCATCACTTTCCGTGGCTCCTCTGATGAGAATGAATAGGACTTTCTCAGACTGAATTTAAGGGCATAGCATATTCAGCCATTAGACCTCTGACTCAGTTACCGGATCTGTGGACACTTACAAACACAAACTCTTGAAAAATACCAATCAGGTTAGCCGGGGTAAATTGAACAACCTATTTTGGAAAAAAGAAAGAAGAATAAAGGTGTCTAATCTGATCTGTTTAGATTACAAGTATGATCAAGTAAAACAAGTATTTCTAGTCAAATGTAAAGGAAATATCCAAAATGTGTTTTTCACGTGTCCTCATAATTTCAGTTTACCCAAAGGCTAACATTTGAGATACACATTTTCATCAGGCTAAAGTGATTATTTTATGTTTTATGTACTTCTCTTACAACGACACACCTTTTCTCAATTCAGTACACTCGGGGGTTTTAGTGCCAGCAAGCACATCTGTTGGGTGTGACCACTAGCTTCTGGTGGCTAATGTTAGCTAACTTTCTATATATATTGTTTAACTAGCATTAAAGAGTCAGTTGACTGACTTACGGATTTTCTGTTGTTACACTATGTTTTAGCATTCACCATTATCCCACAGTTGTCACTTGTGGCACAGTGGCTGATGATAAGCAGAAGTGAGCAGAAGAAGCAGAAGAAGCAGAATCGCTTAAAAACCTCCCACCAGTAGTGGCTAGTAAGAAATAAATTATGTCCTTCGGAAATGTAGACGAAAATACTAGTTTACAGAAATAGTATCTCAAGCTTGTACTAAGCAAACATACTTTAGGTTCCTTCCAAAATTCTGGATTGTGATGACTGTATAATCAGAATAGTACAACTAAATGATCTTTCTTCTGACACCACATGTAGTAAATGTTAGACAGTAACATTTGCTTCCTATAGATCTGTGACTACACAGGTAACCTTTCTGCTTTACTGACAGGAGAAGAACACATGATTGATGTTAATGTCATAAAATGACTTTGATGGTGGCAGAAATGGAAGGAAATGTTAGGTTTGCTGTGGCATTAACTTAATCCAGCTCTGACACGGCTGTGTGGGAGTCAACAGTAAGCACTGAGGCTGCATCATTGAGATAAAATTACAAACAGTAATGCTGTTGTTTCCTATGAATGCCTTGTGTGTATGTGTGAAGGAAATTTAAATCCAACATGGGAATGGCAGACTCCTCCAGAAACTATGGAAACTACTAGGTAATTACAGGATGTATATATATTAAATGGCTATTGTTGAAAAATTACAGACCATAATTCCATGAACATTTTAAGGATTATAAAAATAAAATAAAAAAATATGTCTTTTTTTAAGTGGGCTAACAGTAGAAATGTACTAGGATGATGTCTTGTAAAAGCCTTTTTGATTTGGTCTTTATTAAAGAGATGAAATGCTGTACAATCAGATTATGTGTATCTGAAAATAGATAAATAAATAAAAATATTAACTATTGGATTATTAATAAACATGTTTGAAGTAAGCAGTTCTTTGAATTGATGGAGATAGTGGAGTGATTGGTGATTAAGTGAACACTATTAAAATTAATTTTCATCAATTTGCATTGAAACATCACACTATACACATTTCTGAATTAATTTGATCAGAGACAGAACGATCTTTTCATTTATCTTCAGGATTTAAGTAGCATATCATCACTCATCACAAGGGTGCAATTGTTTTTGAATTTGTACTTTTATTGCTTTTATAGCAATCCGGTATATAATAAGTAATCTGGCACTTCATTTCTCATCCGAGTCACGTTTACCTGTGTGTCTCCCATCTTTTTTGGTTCCCTAATAACATTTTACCCAACAAAGATAAGAGCAGCCCCTGAGAGTAAATCTGAGAGTCCACTGTGAAAGATAATACACAGGGGTGGTAAATCATGTACTGTACATCACTTTAATATTTTTGCTGTGGGGGTGCTTATCACTTGCACAAGATTAGGTATGCAGAAACGTTCAGCTATTGTGTTTGATGGTTTGATCTTGTCTTATTTGAAAATAAGTTCAGTTGTCATTTCGGCAATCAGGAGAACAAGATGAAAAACAACACAAAGTGCAAAAACAAGAAAATACAAAAATGTGTCCTGTACAGACAATATACAGAACACAATAATACAACAAACAATCTCTAAAATGCTAAATAATGTGCAGATTAAGCAAAAAAAAAACAATTATATCAGTGTTGTTTTTAGTTTCTGGCTTCAACTGCTTCCTGGAAACATTTCCACATCATTTTGTATTCTGCCTGCCTGAGTAATTACACAATTTACACTGCTGTGATAAAACAGTTTTAAAGAGACATTATATTTCGGGATAGTTTATTTTTTTTAAATGGATAAAGTCTGTTTCTAGCTCAAGCTCAAGAAAAATAATATATAATACATTTGTATTAATATTAGTTGTTGGTCACAGAGATGTTTACACTATGCACTACATTATACACTTTCATGGTTTAAGTTCATTTTCAGTGTACGGGTGTACTGTTATACCTGAGTATGATGCCAACAAAGTTTACCATGTCAGCAGATCTGCCAGAGGGCTCGACATAAAAGGAACATGTTCAAAGTAAAAGGCTGAGTGGTTCTAAAAGGGTTGCACACAATAAATACACAGTGATGGCAGCGGGCTGTACAAGACGTATGTATACACTTGGACAGGCTGTAAATACACAGCAGCAGTACACACACACACACACACACACCAGGCACTCTGTATTATAGCTCCAGTGAACTTAAGGTTAAGTCTGGTGTGGTTTTTGAGACTGAATCAGTTTCTTGTGCACATGAGACACATAAACAGCTACCAACAGTTAAGCTTTATGTATTCACCTAGCAGCAGTGGGAGACCCAGGGTTAGGGTTAGGGTTATTATAATGCTGAAATTCCTCCTCCCTTATGTTTCAAGCATTCCCTTTTGTTTTGAGGTAATACTGCACAAATGCTATGTTTAATGTTGAGACACTTGTGGTAGTTTCTGTGTAATAACAAGGAGTCAAAG